ATGCATAAAAAAAAATTGGGAATCCCAGCCATAGATAACTGATGTGCTTTCGTTTAAAAAGTACGGTTTTATACCATAATGAGCGCCGCTTAATGTGATAACGTTTGAATAAAGGAATGATCAGGGGAAAATGCCCTTCAAAACAGCAATGAATTTGTAACTCGATGATTATTAACACAACTAGAAACATATAAATATTAATTTTTACAGCATTTTAACTACGAAAAAGTCGTCACTAGTGGATTGCAAGCAAACATATGAAAAATTTCATTTATAAGCTATGTCAAATGTTTGAACGATGCTGTACCCCCTGATTTAATACTCGGCGTTCTTCATATTCCCATTTATACGGAATTCGACGATTTTATCTTTAAGTTCCTCAGAAAATTTATTACTCTATGTTTTATTATTTATTTCAGAAAGACCCTGGCAGATCTCTTCTACCATCTTCTTCTGTCTAAAGACAGAACCGTGTCTGATTGTTCTAGAAATTAATAGTTATTAAAAATCTGCGCCAAACAAAGCAAGAGGCTACTTTTTTTAGCATAATTTTATTGATTGACTAAATTAAAAACCAAGCAGTTTGCTGACTTAATCCCTTATTCGGTGACATTTTTCAATCATTTTGTAAATTTTTAAAACTTGTTTTCGCCTTATTTCGAGAATTTACTTCAGTCCGGAAAATTTATCTTAGAACATTTTGATAACATTAACCGAACTGTTGATCACAATAAATCATGTAATTTAAATGTTTTCGTACACCAATTGGCGAGACTTCGGTAAATCTATAACAATATCGAATAACAACATTAACAGCAATCATATTAGACGGCGTTTATTGTATAAACGAATGTCGTAATATGAATTTAAAAGCTCAACAAATTATTATTGCAATATTCAGGTGATGTTTTCACTCTCCTTTGCACTGGAACTTTTCCAGAACAGAACATTTCTTATCAATTACGAATATACTATAAATTAGGCACCCTTCCCTAATTTACGATAGTAACAGAAGAAATTACGGAAATTCAGCAAAATGCCTTTTTTCTCGCAGCAGTAGTTACCATCTTTATGAGCCGTGATTTGGGAGAGCGATAAGAAATGTCATTGAAGTATCTATTCTAAAGTAATATAGTGATGTTTTTTCTAGCTATTTTTTTTTCCTTCTATAATTGCTAATATCACAGAATTTTGTTAAACATTTGACTATCAATTACAATACTTATTACAGTTATCCGTCTTTATAACATGGTTTCCCACAACACGATTTCGCTGTTACACAATTACAAAATGACGGATACCGTCGTATAGCACAACACGGTTTCAATCTAGCGGGTTAATGAATATGCATAAACCCTCTCATAGCACTTAAGAGTAAGGCACATATTTCGATAACACGATTTTAATTTTAAGCATTTACAAAATTAAGTTACGTGCTATGCTATCGTGTGTAGTAGGCAATAACAGCCTATATTTATTTACACATATAAAAAATAAAATAAATTCCAGGAATACCTGCCTTCTCTCACTTCGAAATTCTTTGAAAACTGAGTCGTGTCATTTGCACAATATGTCGCTTGCGCTCCAAGCGTTAAGTTGATAGATTGCATAAATCGCGTAACTGTGATTTTGGAAGGAACATTTTTTAAAAAAATGTGGGTATGTGTTACTAATTAGCTTTGTAGGATTTATTATTGAGAAAGTATATTTTTGTCTCAAATGCGTCTGAAAGTAAGAAAACAAATTTTAAAGGGGAATTTATTTCTTGAGATGAAAATACAAGTTTTAAATTGTTTGTTAAAAAGAGAAAAGGCATCCGAGGTCGCAAAAAAGCAGCAGTGAGAATCATTAAAAAAGTACTTTTGTATTTTTAAGTTTTCGGAACGCAACCTCTATTTTGTGTTGGCCGTTAATCTCGTATAAGACTGTTCCACACAATATAGTTACAAAACAACTCTATCTACTGTGTTACAGGAGGAATACCTGTATTATAAATTTATAACCAAATTTCCAGTTTTTAATTAATTTATTAAAATATCAGTTAGAATATTAATTACTTTTTATTAGTTAAATACATATCCAATCTTGGAGTTACTTCATTCTAGAAATTTCCTTGGCACAGCATTCTAGAGCATTTTCCGCTCACCGGTGTTATTGTATCCTTGCCTATATTGTAACTTCTATGTTAACTCAGAAATAATGAAAGCTTATTGTTTTACATTTTTTCAGTCTCACGGTGACATTCAAAATGAACAGTTATGTTGTTAAATTACACGTTTACACAACTCATCTCCATTTGGGAATTAAATTTCAAGAATTTAAATCGATGAACAAAGAATAATACCTCTAACAAATTAAACACAAATTTCTGGAAATTTACCTAATTATATACAAAGTTTACAACAATTCGATACATTTATTCTATAGAACAATGCTCTCAAACTGGTGCATTCAGCTTCCGAAGCTATTTAATGCGGCTCGAGAATACATTTCAGCTATACATTTGTTGGAAACATTTCGAGATTTTAGTTACCTGAAGTCCGAGTTTACATCATTTTAATTACCATTAGGAAACGAACATGAATAATTCACCAGAAATTTATAAATAGAGCTAATTACGTAATTTTCAATGCAATACAAGATGATACAGATTTTATTGATTGATTATTTTATTAGAATTGAAGATACAGATTTTATTATTTTTATTCATACTTGTCAAAAAACAAAAAGGTTCAGTTACGAATACTTGCATTAAGAATTATCGCTCTGTTTGAAAATATATTTACATGTGAACAACTACTTTTCACACTTCAAAATTAATAAGAAAAGAATCCAATTCACCTCTGATCATCTATAGACCATGATGAAGATAATTATACGTCGTGATTTATTTATACGTCGATAATTAAAATTTAATAAATAAGAGAAAGAGACTAGGTTGTCATTATTTATTCACAAGTTTTGTCCTGCGTGAAAAATTTTCTCTGAAAACTGAGAGAGCTTTTAGAATTTCTTATTATTAGTTTTAGTTAATGTAAGTTATTTAATTAATAATTAAACATGTTAAAATTATTTGAAATACATTATAAAGTATTTTCTCCCTCCTTTCCTCATGCTTTCTTGGTGTAACTGGAGCATGCTCGACGCGTATGCGGGAGGTCTGGAGTTCAAACCCCGCCATAGGCACTGCGGATCTCTTCAGTTTCTTGAAAAAAACTCTAAATAACTCTAAAAAGGCACACGAAATAAAAGAGGTGTGGTGGACAGTAATTTATCACCACCAGGTTTTGGCGACTGGATCTTCTAATCCACTGTCGCTCTTTAAAGTGCGGAGTATATAAGATATTTTCTTCCTCCTTTCGGCATGGTGGATGAGGATAGGAATATTCGCCCCTTGGCGGCCCGTGACTCTAACTTTCTCACCTGATTATTAGCTCTCTCTGATTTGCACATGTAATTCACTTGTATTTATTTCTCCGTTTTACTACTGTACTATTTTGCTTTGAATTTTCGCAGTACTTATCTATCACGTTAAGATCGTATTACAATGTATTTTCTTGTTTTGATTATTTCCTTTACAGTGCCTTGTTGTTTCTCACACAGCGATGTTTCGGTTACCCCCCCCCCCGAGTTCAGACCTGCTTCTTAGGCTAGTTTCATGTGATGCGCCGTTTTGAAACTTTTCCTCTGAGGCGGACACGCCGCACTTTTCGCGGCATTCTCGGCTATACTCTACCAGTCAGTTTGTCTTTCGGCATGTCTCTGAGATGTAGCTGGAAGACGCTCGACGCATGTTTGGGAGTCTGAAAATTTAATGTTTAGCTGTCAACAGGTTTGAATTATAAAGGGTATCCAATAAAAATGTCTGGCAGGTAGAAAGACTGAAATGCAGATTAGATTTCAGATAGAAAAATAAATATCATTTTTCCCCCTTTTAGATGTTATTTTTATTATTATGTTTTGATAAATATTTATCAAGAGAAATTCAAAATTTACTTAAGAAATGTTTTGTTTTATTTAAAAAAATTTCATTTAATTTTTAAAAAGAAAATTCTGACCCGTCACCCTTTTTCAGACTGTGCATTGGGCCCGCATGAAATTTGAGTCCGAAACCTGTAGAGGATATTAATCTTTCTATCTATTTACATACATGTATACCAGAATTCATCATCACGTTCTATTCTTAAAATTGGGTAATATGATTCCTTTTTAGTTATTTTAAAAATCTGTGCTAGAAATAAATTAAGAGTTATGAAATTTAAAATAACACTCAATTAGAAAGAAAAATTACAAATTCTCCTTTTACACTCTTTACACTCATTTAATGTACGTATTACTAGTTATGTATGAAAACCAACATTCTGTAGAATATCTAGGCAATGTCGAAAACTGGCCGACAATATGTGAAAAATTAACATTTCATAAATTTCCTATATTCTGTAGAATGCCAAATGATAAAACGGCAAATTATGAAATAAATCTATGATTCCTCTCGAATGTCCGTACATTTAGTGCAATGCTACGTAATCTATACGTTTAATACATTCTTTCTATAATTCCATACATTTTCATATTTGTTTTCTTTAACAAGAAAGGCACAAATTTTATTTTGTACAACATTCCTTTTTTTTTTTTTTTTTTTTTTTTTACGTATTTTGAATAAAATTTCTTGAATGGCACTTTCCTTACTTTTTTCAAAATAACATTTGTATTTTTGAGAAATGCCCTTCTTTTAAGTAACAACATTATCATGACCTCTTCTCTTACTTTGTCTAAATAGCATTTGTTATTGTATAGAATGCCTAGGTATTATATACAATGCCTAGCGAAAGTATGTAATTTTGATATTTCACATTTTGCCTATAACACCAAGTGTTCTGTAGAATTTCGAGTTTCATAAATTGCCGCTAACATATATATTTCATGAACTAAACTTACCTTTAACAATTATTTACATTTAACTTACAAAAGCGATGTATATATATTCAGAATGTACCTACTTTTTCCATCAGAGCTCGCCATCTTCAAAACTAAGAACTGTCCTTTTAGTGACAGGATTTCTTCCGACTGTTGAGCGTTTTATATTTTTCGTTGAGCGACTGTTGAGCTAAAAAGAGGTGTTAACAGCGAAAAATAAAAGCGTCTTAAACACCGAATGCGGGTTGTTGTATCCTTCCATATGGACGATGCATTCTAACATGAAAATAGCAAAGAAATAAGTATATTACACTACACACTTTATTTTGACGCGAATTTTGACTAATATGATCAAAACCTAGTGCGGATTTTAACACGGATCTGTGTTCTTCCTTTCAAGAGGGAAATCCTCATCACAAGCATCAACACCTAAGGTTGTTTTCACTTCCTCTCACTCACTAAAAAGAACCTTTCCTAGCGAAAAAGCGAGTAATTCGCCATGGTTGAAGTGAAAGTTGGCGCCACCATGTCCATAAACTCGCCAAGTCGTAATGTAATGTACATTTGTAACATTGCCAACTCAGACGCCGCGGAACTGAATATCGATCTTTTCGTTGGGTTGTAAGGGGGTATTTTTCATGTCCTCCCATATGATATTATTACAGTTTTCCTCTTTGCACGCGACTGGTTAATGGACATTTTTGGTTTTAACAAATTCTCTTTACCGTTCTTGAAATGCAATGCAGAGTGCGGTCATTTGAAACATTAATTATCCGAATTGCTTACTCTTTATTAAGACAAGAAAATTAAAACTAACCGCTGCTAATTTATTTACATGTTTTTCAATTTATGTCATTGATTCTGTTTGAAATTTTGTCAGCGCTAAATACTATAAAACTTCTATATCTGCATCAAATTATCCGGTGCGCTTGTTCTTTTTGTTACCGCAAAACCCCTGGTTATTTATTTATATATTTTCCAATTTATGTCAATGATTTCGTTTAAAATTCTGGCAGTGCTAATGCTGTAAAACTTCTATATCTGGATCACATTATCCTGATCGCTTGTTCTAAAATTAACCTTGTTGTTTATTTGTATAACTTATGCAATTAAATGTCCTGATGATTCTCTTTGAGATTCCTTCACTACAGATTATCCAGACTCCAATTACTCGGCACTTCAATTATCCGAACTGTTTGTTCTTTTCTCTAGGACGTAAAAAAATTGATGATCTTGCTCATATTATGCAACTTAAAAGTTTTATTGCTTCTCTTTGTGATTCTTACATTGCAAATACTGTTAAACACAAATTATCCGGATTTCATATATACGGAAATCCAGTTTTTCAGATCGCTAAATTTTCTTCAAAACCAAGAAATATTAAGTTTGTTTTTAATTAACATTTTTTGTTAATTCACTTTAAGAAATGTTATCCGAAATTCCAACTATTTGAAACTCGAATGATTCGCATCGCCTTCTTTACTCTCAAGCGCAAAACGACTAAACTTGCTGTTTGTTTATTTACGTTTTTACTTTTTTTTTAAATATTATGTTTAGCCATTTACATAATATTAAAAGGTAATGCACTATAGTGCGCAAACTATTCTTGTATTTTACTATAAAACGAACTGCACCTTTTTGAGATTTTTCATTAAAATAAGTTTGTTACTATTATATGTAACTCAAAGATTTTTTATATATATATATATATATTATTAAATCTTTTATATGTTTGCACATTTTTTTTTTTTTAATTTTAACTTTAAATTTGCTTTTTTACGTATATACATGTTTGTTAAAATATATATATATATATATATATATATAACTTCATGTTTAAATTCAGTGCAATGAAGCTCAGAATAAAATTCCATGTATTCGGACTAAGACGGAAATTCGAAACAGAGTAAGAACCACATTTTTATTTCTGTAGCACAAAATACGTAAATGCATATTTTCATCAATATTAAGTTATGAAATTATATTTTATTTGCCTAAACACAGAGTATATTATTTCTTGTAAATAATATTATGAAATCAATTCACAATTATGTAGGCTTTGGAACATCATCTTAGTTTTATTTCACATGAAAAATATATAATCTTATTTTTACTTTTGCTGTGTTAAAATCAACCAAACATTATTTTTTTTTATTTTGATAAAACAAAATACATAATATATCCCTAAAAATAATAAAATCAGCATTATATGAAATACATATGAAATAAGCTCTCAATGATCCGGGATTATCCGGTTTGTCGATTATCCGTGTGTAGCGATGAGCACTCATATACACTCAACGCGATAGTGTGACATTGAGTAAAAAACAAACATGCGGAAGTCCGAACCTGCTCTAAAAACAGCTGAACTGCGTCTTTAGGTTTAGTTTCAACGATAACTTCGTACAATTCATTCTGTACATAGTACTTTCTGTACATTCATGCACACAGTCGAATGTCATATACAGAGTAGTGAATCTTGGTGGAAAGAAAACCAATAATATTTGTTCGATTATGAAGAAAGATTCTTCTTGCTATAGAAATAGCGCATTTATCTAATTGTGAAGAAGTCGATGCAATAACTGAAGTTTTATTCCAAAAAAAAATTGAAAATGTAAATTTCTTCGAAAATGTCGATTGCCGAAAACATCAAAGAATGGTTCTATGGCAATTTCACTGATCTGGCTTTCAATGCTCGAGTGATGCAGATATTGTTTTAAATGTTACAAGAACAGAGGAGGCAGAGAGTGATGCAGAAAATTTAAATGAAGAAGGTGCTAACAATTACATTAGTCCCGAGACGACAATGACTTCTGCTGAAACTCTACTTGACTTCGTTGGCCAATTGCGTTTCAAATACAATAAAATAGCACTTCGAAAAATACGCAGTAAAATTCCGTAAATATTTAAAGCGTCTTAAAAACAAGGTAAAATTGCTGATTTTTCTAAAAAATATACATCAAAACTAATAGTTTGTATTAACCTTGTTTTCAAGTTATCCGTGACCTGCTTTCCCAGCATTAGCCCGGATAATCACGATTGCCCTGTACTTGAACGATATCTTTATATTATTGAAGATAAATATGAACTGAAGCTCCAAAGCACTGGGCAAACTTAACAAATTTACACCTTTATGCTCTCGAAATAATTGCAGCTACTTGACTTGCCATTAAATCAAATTGATGATGATCAAAACGTACGAAAAAGTGGAGTAACTGAAATTTAATTAAGATTAACAGAAAATGTTTTAACATCCATAGGTGGTATTATCTTGTTGATATAAATAATAATGGTGAGAAACACAGCGTTCGTAAAGAATACAAGAGATTCGCAGGGAGACCGCTCTATGTCACTTCAGTCTCTGAAGACTATAGAACATTAAAATCCCAAGAAAACGAATTCTTCATTACAACTACCTTCAACACTGGGCAGGATGAATTCCCATTCTCATTCAATCTTCTCCTCATGCAAATTTGCCTGTTTGAAATGGGTGAAATGTGCTTCGCCTGTCTAAGCTGCACTGCATCAATTATCCTTGATCCAATAATAGCATTTTTTGGCTCATGTGACACTTTGCTTGATGCCTTAGAGACAAGTATGATCCCCAGACTGTTTGATGAGTATCAAAACTCTTGAAATACAGTATATGTTATATAATGCATATAATAATGGACTGAATTACATAAGAGTTAACTGGGATAAGTTACGTATTACTTAGTGCATAAAGAACTAAATGATACCTACTAGAAATCTAATGTGACCGTGGCTCCCAGACTGCTCTGGCTAGACTAACAGTGGCCACCTTAAATATCTTTCCTTTGATAGTGACAGAAAAATCCGCCCCCCTTGTAAAAAATGCTATGACCATCCAGCTTCACCGGATCACATACTGGGTTGCATCGGACTTTCTAAGGAGGACTTAACATCCGATCCCCTCACTGTTATTGATTTTTTGACGGTCAACAACCTTCTGGAACTGATCTGACATATGTCAGATCTTTCGAGTATAAGCAACAACAACAGAACTAAAGGATATCAGAGGAGCTAAAGAGTGATTGGTTCTCCGGCCTCTTGACTTCGAGAGGCAGATAATGACAGAGACAGTGCAAATCACTAAAATCCCTGATACTAGCCGTGAAATTATGACTCTTGGATTGCCAAGTGGAAACATTTCTGAAGACGTTATTACTCCTGCAATGTCCGTATGTCATCTCACCCCTCATAACAGCTCGAAGACGGCGACATATGAGAGTATCGCACATACGAATTCCGCAGCACATCAGTTGCTTTATTCTTGGATATTTGTAGACCCTCTTTGGAGTCATTTAGAATATTTCAAAGCCAGGAAACTAAAGAAATCCGCGATGCTCTCTCCGAGATTCGAACTCGCACCTCCCGATGTTTGCACTAGCACGAAGACACGCAGTAAGAAGGGAGGGAAAAAAGCCTTACAACTCGTCTCCTCATATACCACTGACTTTGGTTTAGAATTTAGGTATTTACAGCATATTATTTTTGCACTCATTCATCAAAACTTCAGCACAGGCAGTTATGTCCCAGGTCCCAGATAACATTTTATACTTCTATTTGCTCTATAAAAAGCATATGGTCAGCCATTGATATATCATGCATACAAACCATAAGCAGTAGCGTAGGTAGAGATTTCCCGGCCGGGGAGGTAGCATATGGTCCTCCCCGGCCGGGAAAGCTCTACCTACGCTACTGCTTATTGATTTTGCCGCCTAAGGCGGTCTCTGAATTTGCTGCCGTTCTTCATATACAAATAAATAACTGACAAAATTACATACAATAACAAAATTACATAGAGCAAAGAAAATTTAAACTCTAGGCTTATTTTTGAAGAAAAATTTTGATTCAGACATTTTAAAATTATATGATTATTTCATTTGTTATTTTGTTCTCAAAACCATCTATCACATCGAAGATGTCTACTTGATTCTTCTAGCTGCTGTAATCTTGACAGTAAGAAAAATTTCTTAAATATAAAATAAGCATTTATAGTTCTAAAATGCTTTCTCAATGATTTGTATTTAGAAAACTCCTCTTACAGAAATTGTGAGGAAAGTTCGCAATATATTATGATACTAGCGGAAATACTCGATGACAGTTTTCAGAGTTTTTAATTAATATCTCGGCTGATTAAAGTCGTATGAAGATGGGAATAGGCGAAATGGCTTCCCACGAGTTTTTGGAATAGGGAATAATGTACTTGATGTTTGGCAATGCTATTTTGATTTTATTGTAAAACTTAGAATTTTTTTATTAACAAACTCTACGATTTGAAAGCGAGCAGGGCCAACGCTTCTCAAAATAAAGCAGATTTTTATCTCCAGCGTGCAAGACTGTTGTCTCTCTGGAAAATGAGGGCGAAAATTAGCGTTTTAAAAATTTTTAATTAATATACCTAATCTTATTTTATTTTAT